CATAGAGTTTTATAAATGTTTTTGGTCAGATGTGCGAGAAATGCTTTATAAGGCGTTCACAGATTGCATTTCAGCAGGAAACCTTTTGCCAACCATGAAACATGGCCTTATTACCTTAATTCCAAAACCAAATAAAAATAATCTTTTGTTGGATAATTGGAGACCTATTACCCTGTTATGTAATGATTACAAACTTTTAGCACATGTTTATGCTAACAGGTTAAACTCGGGTCTGAATCAACTAATAGATGAATGTCAATCAGCCTTTATAAAGGGCAGAAGTATTCATAACCATACCAGACTGATATTGGATATGCTTGATTACCAGGAGTTTATTGATACTGAAGGTCTCGTACTATTTCTGGATTTTTACAAGGCTTTTGATACTGTTGAACATTCCTTTTTAATGGAAACTCTGACATTTCTGGGTTTTGGTGAACATTTCTGCAACATAATTAGGATGCTCTACTCGGACATTTATAGTTCTGTATCTTTGAACCCTGGAATGAGCCCTAGGTTTAAGGTTTTACGTGGTATTCGACAGGGTTGTCCTATTTCCCCCAAATTATTTATTCTGACCACCCAAGTATTAACAACGCTTATTATAAAGAATCACAAAATATTAGGCATTACCCTCTTTGACAAAGAGTTCAAAATTAGTCAATTTGCGGATGACACATCCATTTTCCTAAAGAATAAATCCATGGTAAAGGAAACTCTTAACACAATTTCAATTTTTTCAAAAGCATCAGGGTTATCTCTTAATCTTTCAAAATGTGAATTACTCCCTATCCATTCATGTGATGATTCCACTATTGACTCTATTAGAGTGGTACCTGAGGTGAAATATTTGGGAATAACATTATCTAAAAATTATATCAGGAGAGAAGATCTTAATATTTGTAACCGTATCACAGATATGAAGAAATCTCTCAGTCGTTGGTTAACTAGAGATCTTACTATTTTTGGCAGAGTTCTTCTTACTAAAGCAGAAGGTATATCTAAACTTATTTATCCATGCCACTCATGTTTTGTCTCTTCGGCTAATATAAAAAAAGCCAACTCAATTATTTTCCAATTCTTGTGGAGAAATAAAACTCACTACATTAAAAAGTCACAGCTTGTTAAAGAATATGATAAAGGCGGAATTAAAGCTTTAGACTTTGAATCGATGATTGGAACAATTAAAATAAAATGGTTGAAAGCTTTTTTGTCCCAGCCAGAATCCATGTGGTTCCATATTCCAAAGGCCATATTTAAACGTCTAGGAGGGTTTGAATTTCTTTTAAAATGTGATTTTGAGGTTAATAAGATTCCGACCAAATTGTCAAATTTTCATAAGCAGATACTTCATTATTGGAAGATGATATTTACCCACAATTTTTCTCCTCATGGATCTACGTTATGGAACAATAGAGTGATTATCATAAACAGAAAATCCTTGTTTAGGAGTGATTGGCATGAGAGGGGTATTTTGTTTGTTAGAGATTTACTAGATTGCAATGGTAAACTGCTAGATTTTTTGGCCTTTTCAACGAAATACAATATAACGTGTACTGCTAAAGATTATAACAAAATCTGTAAAGCAATTCCTGTACCACTTATTGGAATGATTCATAATACTTTACTGTACTCAAATGTTGTATCAGTTTTACCTAATTTGGAAATTATTGGCGATACTCTTAAGAATAACAAATCTATTAATGCTTCCCTGAAATCCCACATTTTTCACAATTTTAACAGAGGCTTATTTCCTCAAGTGACCGATTTAGACACTTTATCTGTAATGGAAAAAGCTCTATCTGATTTTATAAAATGGCCTATTTCCCCTAAAGCAAAAGAAACTCATTTAAAATTGTTCATAAAATCTACCCGGTTTCTACTTTTTAAATTCAAGATTTAAATTTGAAGTGGAACCATGTTCCTTTTGTAATTTATCTGATGAATCGTTGGAACATTTATTTTTCTCTTGCCCTTTTTCTGAATTGTTTTGGTCGAATGTGAGAGATTGGTTGTTACTTAAATTAACAAATATTCCGGCCTTCAAAATATATCACATTTTATATTATATTGATAATTTGGACTCTCCCATTTCTGATTTGGTAAATATAATTATTATTTTGGGTAAATACCATTTACATTGTAGTAAATGGAGAGGAGGCAAGCCCTCCTTTCCCTGTTTCATAAATGAGTTCAAGTCCTTTTTTCTGTCCCTTAGAAAAATACAATCTTGTAACCTGTCTATAAAGATTTGCAATGACATTTCCAAATGGTTATTATTTTAAGTAAGCTTAATGCCTCTTAAATGTTTTTGTGCCTTTATGCTTTTTTCTTTCCCCCTGGCTCTTACTGGATGTATTAGTTATGTTTTTTTGTCTTATTGTGAATGAATGTCTTGAACTTGTGTTGATAAGTTGATGATATCCTCACCGAGCTTTTGTATGTTTAAAAAAATGTTCAATAAAAAAAAAAAAAAAAAAAAAAAAAAAAAAAAAAAAAAAAAAAACTACCCGATCCGTCCACCTGCCCGATCGGTACTGCGCATGTGCGAGATGGTCCGCCATATTGCACAACTCCGTACGGCAACCCAACTAGGACACTCACACACACACACATAATATATTTATTGTTGTGCCTTTTTATTTGCTCGTATTATGATGGGATATGGTTTAATTTAGTAAATGGTTGTGCGTTGTGTGTGAAAAATGTATATATCTAAAAAGTGTGTTGGTGTATGATCACATTTGTATATGAAAATGTCTGAAGTTAATAAATACATTCTCAGTGTTCAAGTCAATCACTGACGATGCTTGCGATATCATAAAATCTAAGTGTTAATGATTGCCAGTAGAGATGGGATGGCAGAAGGTGCTATATATATATATAATTCCAAAGCTGGTAAAGACCTTTCAAATTTAGCAATAATAGTCATATAAGAAAAGTACTGATCTAATAACAGAGATTTGTTATTGAATCAAATTTTTGTAATTTTATTTCATTTTAAATAAAATGAAAGACATTCACAGTTAATGTAATTAGATATACATTATTAATGCCATACATTTTTGCATAAATATTTATTCAGTATGATAGCTGTCTAACAGAAGTTAAATCCATTTCTCACTTATTCTGACAATGTACTTAACCCCAAATAAAAGAACCCAATAAAAATAGTTGTTAAATAATAGTGAAGTCACGTTGTAATAACAATAACTCATCTCTCTCGGTTTTTTTGAGTTTTCTTTGTGTGCTTTGCCAAAAGCCACTGTGTCAAGTGTCCTAGTTGGGTTGCCGTACGGAGTTGTGCAATATGGCGGACCATCTCGCACATGCGCAGTACCGATCGGGCAGGTGGACGGATCGGGTAGTGACCAAGCGGCAAACTCTGGGGAAGAGCCGGGACGCCAATACGGAAGTGCCACAAACTGCAGTTCATATATTGGCCGATAGGCGATGACTGGGGCCAATCTTCAGTCGGATGTGAATGTGTAATCTAACATTTTCAGTAAGAATAATGGACAAAAGGAGTGCAAATACAAATACAATTTATTGAAATGTGAACCAAAAGTTAATCAAACATGTTTTAAATAAAAAGCACATATGGACAGAAGGTGTAAACCTATTAAATGTATAAGTAAACACATTTAGTCAAATAAAGTGACAGACTAGGCCTGTGCAGGTGGTATCAGCTATGCCCAGCATCCATCAGGCCTGGTCCTCCTCGCTGAGGAAAGACCCTCAGTCCTCTCCAAACCAACAGACAGGATGTCCATCACACGGAGGTTTCTCCCTGAAGTCTCTGCAGCTCTCTGGACACCACGCTGTCTCAATCCGTCCACACTGAATATGAGAGGGGAAAAATGAAAATAATAAATGCTTTAGACAATAAGAAATATAAAGTGAACCGTTGAGTTGCTCAGTTTTTTTAGATTGTCAATACTATTACTGTATAACTAATATCCCAGGTTAAGAGGCACCTTCAAATAAAGATTGGTCTTTAAATACATTTTGTCTTTTGAATTGTTTGTCTAAAGTCAAGGATCTAGAACTGGTACTTCTAGTTTTAATGATACAGTCTGGTTATAATGCTGTTTGGAGGAGGCCTCACAGGTAAGAGCACTAACTAGCTACCATCACATGTACCTTAGCTTAACTTAAATGTATTAAACGTATAATTAAGTGATGGCAAAATATAAATAACTAATGTCATGCAAACATATTAATATTTTTGCTTGATTCCAGTGTTTAATTTAGCACATTGCATACAAACGTTAAGGGATTTTAAGATTCTGAAGTATTATGCTAAAAACTCAACTTAGATTATTATTTATAGTTTTGCTGAATAGTCTCATGTCCGCTTACCTTAGAAACGTACAATGCGACGGCAACTCTGCAGATGGTGAGCATGTTAGCTTAGCTTGGTAGCTTCAGCTAGCTCTGTTACTTCCAGCCCGGAGGCAGGAGGTCCCGCCTCGGCTCCGCCTCTTTGCCCTTATTTGGAGCAGGCTGGAGCAGGCGGGAGTGGAACTCTGACGCCACTGTCGAGCCGTTAGTGGCCGACTCCGCCTACTAAGGGCTTCTCGGCAACTCTGCAGAATCCTATGGGTGACGTCACGGACCCTATGTCCATTTATATATACAGTCTATGCTCTGGACCGACAATTTTTTGGAGCTGGAAGTGAACCGCATTCCGGAGCTATGACGCGCCGCCGCTGCGGTGTGAACAGGAAAAACCGGCGCTTTTCAGGCTCTAGCTCCCAGCAGGAGCTGGAAAAGCGCCGGTGTGAAAGGGGTATCTTTCATAGCTCAGTTTTAAAATCAGTTGCAAGTTGAATTTAACGGTGTTTGATACTTTCTTGATATGTTTCTTAAATTCAAGTTCGAGTCCAAGATACTTGAAGTTAGTGTGTTTAGTGTGTATGAGAGCAGGAGGAGAGGAGGAGGAGCAGGAGGAGAGGAGGAGCAGGAGGAGGAGGAACAGATTGACTTCATGGACGCTGCTTGTTCTAAATCTTTATTGAACGTATCGATCACTACAGTCTTCAGGATCAGCTTTAATAGTTGCTTCAAGAAAACTTTATTACAGACAATCAGTGAGACACACGGTAACCAATGAGAAGCCTCCATTTAAAACACCATGTGACCCAGGACAGGAAGTGGACTCCTCCTACAGAGGACACAGAGACACTGAGGAGTCTGACACTAACCCAAACCCAGCGTAGAGAGGTTCAGTGAATGTGGCTCTGAAGGTGTGGAGGAGGATCAGTGAGGAGGAGGAGACTATGTAGAAGGAGAGAGAGCCAGCAGCATGATCCAGATACACTGCTACTCTACGAGAGGAGGAGGAGGAGGAGGGGGAGGGAGGGGGAGGAGGAGGAGGAGGGGATGGGTGTTCCTCTGTTATTGTGCCTGACAGCGTAACCTCTATCAGAGCAGAACAGTCTCCAGGACTGATTATTATATCCAAACCCACATTCCTCTCCTTGTCCTTTCCTCCTGATTCCTCTGTAAGTCACTGCTATATGAACCACTCCTCTCCACTCGACCTCCCAGTAACAGCGACCAGTCAGAGCTTCTCTGCACATCAGCTGAACCCTGCCATAGAACCTCTCTGGATGATCAGGATATGGCTGCCTCTCCTTCACACGTGTCACCTTCCTGTTGTCCTCAGACAGTTTGAGGCCTCTGTTCACTGTGTTTGAGTCCAGGGTGAGTTCACAGGAATCTGAGGAGAGACACAGACAGCAGTTTATCACCAGACTCACCTGAAGGCTTTCCTCTCTGTCAGTGATCTTTCTATAAAGCTTCAAGAGGTCATGTTCTAATGAATAAATAGCACCTCCATCATCTGTGTCTCTAGAGCAGGGGTCTCCAACCTTTTTTAGGGTGAGGGCTACTTTCAAAAAATAAAACAAGTCGTGAGCTACTTTTACTCCTCTTTTTGTTGTTTTTTGCAGTGTATATATTTAGCACATTTTAACATTATGACATGCTGACCTTTAACCTTTGTGTCTGTTTGGGTCTGTGGGACCCCTTCAGTGTTTACTCAAAGAACATGGATGCTATCTCATTATTTTAACCTGCTTTATTTGGGGGTGGACCTCACCTCCTCTAGGGGGGTCCTCACCTTCTCTAGGGGGGTCCTCACCTCCTCTAGGGTCCTCACCTCCTCTAGGGGGGTCCGGGGGCATGCATCAATCTGGAGCACTCTGAGCCCCAGATGAATTGATGGAAACAGCTCTCAACACTCAGATGAAAGAGAGCTGTAAACTTTTCAATAATCCAAACCTCTTTAGAATATGATCTCAACCAATAACAAATCATTCAAACTGGTTTATTCTGATCTGATGTTTCCTAGTTAGCATTCTTTCTTTCTATTCATGCTGATTTTACTAATCACTCTTTCACACACACACACACACACACACACACACACACACACACACACACACACACACACACACACACACACACACACACACACACACACACACACACACCAACACACACAACACACACACACACACACACAACACACACACACACACACACACACACACACACACACACACACACACACACACACACACACACACACACACACACACACCACACACACACACACACACACACACACACACACACACACACACACACACACACACACACACACACACACACACACACACACACACACACACACACACACACACACACACACACACACAGTGTGCTCCTCCGTGGCAATGACGGCTTGCGTTAAAATAAATAAATAATAAACATATTTGTAAAGTGGGGGGACACAAACGGGATTTCGAAAAGAGCGGGGGACATTTCATTTATTTAGATACGTGATTGGTCGATATTCATTGTGGGGGTGGAGAGAGGAGGGGTGTTAGATAGATATAGAGTTGTAGTAAGTAGATAGAGTTCGCTATGATTTAAGTTTCGTTTATACATAGGGTAGATTCTTTTAATTACATTTCCTTTTTTTGTTTTGTGTATTTTATACATTTTGGATTTGCTTGGCGAGCTATTTTTAGAACATGCCCCGCGGGCACCGTGTTGGCTACCCCTGCTCTAGAGAGAAGCTGACTGATCCACACTTACACTTCCTCAGACCTGCTCTGAACCTCTGCTCTCCACCATGGTCCAGCCTGGAGGAAGAAACACATGTGAGAAACAGAACAGCGTATTGTTAGAATAAAGTATTTATCAATGTTCATCATAATAATAATAAATCCTATGTGTCCGAAGGGAGCAGGAGCTTATTGATCCCCCTCACTTACTGCTGATCAATGATTATCCTTTCAATCATCTCTGAAAGTTATTCCTACTTACATATTTACATTTATACATTTACAATCATTTCTCCTCTTCAATCTCCTTTCTTCATTCTCATACTTTCCCAAAGAAGTGTTTCTGTGCATCCTTCTAAGTGAATGCTATGTGTGTTTTGTTTGAACTCCTGCTCCAAGCCGCTCCATGAAACCCCCCCCCCACAGATTGTTCTGCTCTTCTCAGAGTTCTTCTGACCTTGAGTTGTTTCAGATGTAGATCTCCTCTCAGATGATACCCCCCCTCTCTGTCTATGAACAACGTCTGTAGTGTCCTAGGAAGTAGATTATCTCTTGCTCTGTACATGATGCAGTTTGAAATGTAACCTGATCAGTAAACTTCAGTGTGTGTGACTTCAAGAATAATGAATGAGTGTGTTTAAGATTAATCAATAATGTTGGATATCTTGGAGCCCTTTTTTGTAATGTGCATAACGGCTGCAGGTTGGTTTTGTGTTTCCCCAGATCTCCACACAGTAACTCAGACATGGAGATATGAGTGTATCACACAGAGTATATCATGATGTGATATGAGTGCATCACAGAGTATATAATGATGTGATATGAGTGTATCACAGAGTATATCATGATGTGATATGAGTGTATCACAGAGTATATCATGATGTGATATGAGTGCATCACACTGAGTATATCATGATGTGATATGAGTGTATCACAGAGTATATCATGATGTGATATGAGTGTATCACACAGAGTATATCATGATGTGATATGAGTGTATCACACAGAGTATATCATGATGTGATATGAGTGTATCACAGAGTATATCATGATGTGATATGAGTGTATCACACAGAGTATATCATCATGTGTACTCCAGAGTGTGTCTTGCTTTCCCCAATAGTGCGATAGTCTCAGCCAGTTTAGCTTTGACATGATGGATATGAGGTTTCCAGCTGATGTTGTGCTCGAACACCAAGGAACTTGTTTACATATACTCTTTCTATGTTTATGTTGTCTAGGATTAACCTGAGGATTTGTTTGATGTTTTCCAAAGAGCATAATCTTTGTTCTGCTTATATTTAATGATCATGTGTTCTTATCAAACCAATGTTTGACTTGAATCATGTCTGCTGTTATTACCTCCATTAGCTGTTTCAAACTGTCTTTGTGTCTCTCTGCATTGTTTAGGCCATCAGTGATCCATGCACTGTGACTTTGTTTGTGTTTCTCTCTGCATTGTTTAGGCCATCAGTGATCCATGCACTGTGACTTTGTTTGTGTCTCTCTCTGCATTGTTTAGGCCATCAGTGATCCATGCACGGTGACTTTGTTTGTGTCTCTCTCTGCATTGTTTAGGCCATCAGTGATCCATGCACTGTGACTTTGTTTGTGTTTCTCTCTGCATTGTTTAGGCCATCAGTGATCCATGCACTGTGACTTTGTTTGTGTCTCTCTCTGCATTGTTTAGGCCATCAGTGATCCATGCACGGTGACTTTGTTTGTGTCTCTCTGCATTGTTTAGGCCATCAGTGATCCATGCACGGTGACTTTGTGTCTCTCTGCATTGTTTAGGCCATCAGTGATCCATGCACAGTGACTTTGTTTGTCTCTCTCTGCATTGTTTAGGCCATCAGTGATCCATGCACGGTGACTTTGTTTGTCTCTCTGCATTGTTTCACAGGACACTTTTTGTCACAAAGTGATTTCAAAATGTTTAGAAATTCCTCATAGGCCTTGTCCATATCGTCTCTCTTATATACTACCCTCCAATTGTGATTAAAGTATTCTTTAATGCATTTATGTTTTCTTCAGTCTCAATCTTTTGTATTTGAAATGGCTGGAGACTTTAGGTTTCTTATAACTGCAGTGATAGACAAGAACAGGTGAATGATCACTGATGTCACTATATAGTAGTCCCTACTGTATTGTTCTCCATAATGTTTGTGAATATGTTGTCTATTCATGTAGCAGAGAAATGATTCTACTAGGTCTGGTGATTTTAGGATACAAACCCATACTGTACAATGCATTGATGAAGTCTTCTTAAGTCTTTAACCCTAACCCCTAAGATAAACATCATGTTTTGTAATGATTTAGTAAACATGTTTCTATCCTATCTGTAAATGTGTCAATACAGGTTCCAGGAGCTCTGTATATACAGCTCACAATAACATGTTTAGACCTTTCCATACACATGTCTACTGTAACACATTCAAACAAATCATCAACAGCTGTTGTTATGCTCTCCACCACCTTACTAAGTGAAACAATTTATAACCCAAAAAATACTACTTCAAATTAACGCATATTAAAGACATGAAAAGTCTAAAAAGGATAGAAAATCCACTTTGCTTCTTCCGACTCATGCACTTGAGAGAAGAAGAAGAAGAAGAAGAAGAAGAAATTATGTAAAGATAATCAGAGAGTCTTTATCAATTCAATCACATGTCACGGTGGTGCAGGTGGAAAAGTCCTGATCGTCCCTCTGGGAATCATAAATGTTAAACAGAATCTCATCTCAACACATTTAGCAGTTGGTGAGATATCTCAGTCAGAACCAAATCCATAAACTGACCATCATTATCCTCCCTAGAGCCAGGAAACCAGTGGTTCTGATGTTTGGACTGAATGGCTGTTTCCATGTAATAAGACTTGAAGGTTAACTCACTGCAGTGAACATAATCAAGGGAAATGAGACATTCCTTCATGATGGAAGACCAGAGATGAAGGAGATGAAATTAGAAAAATACGAGGAAGTCAGTCTGTCCATACCTGAGTGTCTCCAGACTGCAGAGTGGATCCTCCCGTCCAGCAGAAAGCAGCTTCTCTCCTGATAGACGGGGTCAATTTTCACAAAATCAGAACCCCAAAGGCATTTTGTGTTTATTCATGCTATACAACCTTTCTAGGGGTATTAAGGGGCGCTGAATCCAACTCTGCTGTATATGAAGCTCAACAATGTCCCAAAATGCCTCACAATTGAGAAATCCAATGTGGCCTATGAGTCTCCTGGATGATTGTAGCTGATTGCAGCTCAGGTCCAGCTCTCTCAGATGGGAGGGCTTGGAGCTCAGAGCTGAAGCCAGAGAAACACAGCCTTCCTCTGACAAAATAGCAGGTTATTTTCCTTATATCAAGTCACTGGATCGTGTTGCATAATTATCTGTACATTGTCCAGCATAAGTTCCACCCCACAGAGAACCATCAGTTTTCCCACAGAGAACCATGGCCCTAAACCTGACTGACTCTTATTCCTGCTGCTGGGAGATGAGGCACGATACCAGCAGATCCCAACACCCACTGAGGGTGTGGACACAGCTCTCTCTCCAGTTATACAGGAAGTGGATGGCTCTTATGGCGCATTTCCACTACTCGGCCTCGCTCGGCCTCGCTCGGTATGGCTAGGCCTCGTTAGGACTGGCTCACTTTATATTTCCATTACAGTTTAGGAACTGGGGTAGTATCTATAGTAACGCAGTGTAGGCGGAGCCGTGACGTCATCTTCAATGAGAACCCCAGAAAAACAACACAGCCGTTAGCACTCAGAGCTCACAGCTCCTCATATATGTTCAGAAACTAGACAAAAGTTAAACAAGTACAAACCACAGACTGCCTGTGTCATGGCGAATACAGTCGCTGCTTTATTTATGTCTGTATAGGCCGTTGTTGTGAGTGGGGACGGTCGGAGCATATACTGCGTTAGCTTAGCCAATCTCCATTTAGAAAACACGCATTTTAAAAGGTTTTTCGCCTGCCGTCTGTCTGCAGACTTGTCAAAGCATTAATTCATGGTTTTTACAAACCGGTATCAGTATGTTGTTACTTCGGCATCATTTTGAAACGTGTATTACAATTAAATCACGGTCAAATATGTCCATCTTGTTGTAGTTGTAGCCCCCTTGTCAGCGATTCTCTCTCAAGTTTAGCATACTCAGCCCGACTCAGCCTTGTTGTCTCTGGCCCTAGAACCACGATTTTATGAGGCCAGAAAAACTGTGAATTAGGACCCGCCGGCCGGTACTAGGCCAAGTGGAAACGCAACCAAAAACGGGCCGCTGACGTCACAGCCCTCTTAAACCGTGCTCCGCGCTGTAGTGGAAATGCGCCATTACTGTGTCGCAGTATACTCCTGCAATAGCCTACCATCTACAAGACACCCTGGGGGGTCACAGTAATAACCCGTCCCTTCCTCCCCAAGTCATGTTGGACGGCAAATGATACCTCCTTCCACCTGTAGGGGGCTGGGCCGTTAGTAATGACTAGGACAGAATCTGCAGTGAGCAATCCCAGTGAGGCTGAGCAATGTGCTCCTCTGATGTTTAGAGCTTACCCTACAGTCCCCTTTAAAGCATGGAAAATGACACTGTCTGCCTCCATGCAACATTGAACAGGAATTTAAATCACAACTGTCCAATCCTATGTCAGGACAAACCTCCACAGTGTGTCCCTGTGGCCCCTTCTGACCACCTGAGCACAGCTTCTCCAAGCCCTCAGCTCTGCCTCCTGAACTCAGTGTGCATCAGTCCCATTCAACATCCTGAGACTGAGTCAGCAGCTAACCTACACTGTGGAAAACAGCCGGGGTTTATCCATGACTCCCCCTCCTGAGATATCTGACAGTTCGGCAGGACAAACCTCATTCCAAACAGAATTGGCCGTTTCCTGGGAAAACGTAGCACTCAAGGACTCACTGCCATTTCAGAGCCCACTGATTACTTTCTGGTCATTCCTCTGATCCATCCCCTCCCCAACACTGGCTTTTAGCATCACCCACTTGTATTACATATCTCCAATGTCCCACCAGGAGAAACTCGTTAATATAGCATTGGTGGTTCAGTGGTAAAATTCTCGCCTGGATGCCGGGTCCGATTCCCAGCCAATGAAGCAGAGTGTTTAAGTGGCGCAGTCTGTAGGAATTTGTGTTGGGAACCGAAGGGTCGCCGGTTGGAGTCCCGATCGGACCAAAATAATACGGAGTGTAGACTGGTTCCTGGAGAGGTGCCAGTTCACCTCCTGCCCTCGAGCAAGGCACAGAACCCCCCAACTGCTCACTGGCGCTGGACAGACTGGCTGCCTGTTTTGCTCAGACCTCTCTCACCTGTCCTGTGCATGTGTGTGTATTGTACTGTGTGTTACCACAACCGAGTGAACAACTGAGCTGAATTCCCCCTTTGGGATAAAATAAAGCGTCTTCTCCTTCTTAATAACATTGGCTGCTAATCATAATGACGTTGGATAGTGTCAGTGTGGTCGGACTCTCAAAGCACAGCAGTCTCTTTTCCTAAGTCCTGATGAATCCTCCTATCATTAAGCCCAAGATGTTTCACAGAGGGTTACGGAATAGTGGTTAGGGAGAGACGAAAGGCGATATATTTTGGACAATTTTACCGAAACCCAAACTTTCTAATCCAGGAACGGTAATTGGATTCCTAAAATGCTGATCTATAAAGGTTCTACAACCCCTCACCTGGAACCAACAGGGTGACCTTGCCAGAAACTAGTGACCCTGACCTCTCTGCTTTCAGGGGTACCTCAGCCCCAACACCATGTGGAGGTGATGGTTCTCTGAGGGGGATATCAGGAGTCTAAAAACATGATGCATGGCTGGGAAAAATAAAAAAAGTTATATTTTGGTAAACTCGTTTTTAAAGACCTACCTTCAGGGTCTGATGAGAATTTAGATAATTTATTTTCTAGATCATTCCTTTGGATCTTATTCAAAACGTCTCTGGTCACTTTAATGGTGTTTGTGTCGTAGTGCTGAAGCATCAGTCGCACTGTGTCAATCCGGTCTGCTTTCTGTAGTCGACTCTCTGGGATTCCTGGGAATCCTAGGACCTCCTCCTCCAGGCACCAGTTGAATTTTTTGAATTCCTCTTCCTTCAAACTTTCTAAAATTGTTAATAGGGCATTTCTACGTGTCTCCATCTTTTCTCCCTGCAGAGCAAAGATACAGAGAAAGAAAATATTTATCTTACAGAACAATGTGTTGTTTTATTGTATTTTTGTACTTTTGAAAACCACAACAGGCCTTCAGGATCCAAAGAACAGCCGCCATGTGACTTTGGATGGCTTCAATTCAGATGTCGAGTTAGTGAATGCCCTAATCGGTTCTAAACTTGTTTTAATACCTTAGACTTCACGAAAGATATTCAGGAAGTCAATCATAAACTTGAAGACAATCAGCCCCATTGGTCCAAATGGACCAATCCGTGGAGCAGAGTTCCTGTTAGAATATTTTTTTGCCGGTCAACATGTCCGTTAAAGTTGAAATCTTCCGGACAAAATTAGAAAAGTGCCGGTCAAAGGTCTTCTTTGTTATCTATTGAGCTTTAAAACAAATGTATATGATTCGATATTAAACAAACTAATTATAGTAGATTAACTACATTACTAAAAAGTGTAAAGTAACTTACAATAACGCGGGAATAATAAACGGAGCGCTCTCTCTCTCCTGACGCCAGTCTCATGCAGCTCGCGGATCCAGTAATGAGTGACCCGACAGTAAAACTAAACATATCTATAACTAGTTTAGGTAGTTTGAGAGGTAATTAAAATAGCTACGTGATGTTCTAACCTGAAGTGTGTTTTGCTCCGCTCACCGCTGCATGTGATCATGCAGAGCTGCGTGTCGACTCGTCAGCAGCAGCCGATCTCTCTCTCCCGTCAGATTAGACTTTACTCGCGTTTGTGTCCATATCGATCAGATCTAGCTAGTTCTAGCTAATGATATGACTACCTGCTTATTAAAAGACACCTAAACAATAAGCGTCGCTATGCAACTGGGTGAGGCCACAAAGTATAGCGCAGCATTATGCATTTGTTTACATGCCCACCGGAGGCATTACCAACAGATCAACCCTTACACAGGGCTGCCAACACTCACGCATTGAGCGTGAGAGTCACACAATTAACCCATATCTCACGCACTCACGCCACACATGCCTTTCCTCACGCTAAGTTTTCGTCCAAAATAAATGTATATAAATATAAAAATAAAGTGAAGGAAAGAGCAAACCGAGCGGTCTACGAAATGAGACGGCCTTCTGGCTTAGTTCAGTAAAGTTGGAACGATGTTGGGAGATTCGGATTTCACAGATCAATAACTCATGAACAAAACGTTATTCAGACACAAATGTCGTCTCCTAAGTACCGTGGTAAGGTTGACAACGAACTACAATCACATTTTGATAAAAAAAAAGCCAATACGCGCCGTCCTCCGAGCTGGACACATTACATTGGTCTCTATCCGCAGCCGGAGAAGAAACGAGTGCTCAGGGACCGTCTGCAAAGTGCAATACAATAATATTCAATCACTATTATACAGTATATTACTACCAAACTCACCACACACATCAATAGTCTCCTGGTGGTCATACTACAGCAGAGAGTTTGGAAGAATATGCTTTTGAATAATTTTGGGGAATATTTATGTAAATCTTGCATCATCTTGAATAACTTTAGCATCTGGTTAGCTAGCTATATGAATAACTTTACTATTATACAGTATATTTCTACCAAACTCACTATTTGCATTGTTGTTGTTAGCATCTGGTTAGCTAGCTGCGCTAACGGATATTAGAAGCAGTTTCTAAATCAAGGAGAGGGAGAGCTCTGTCCTCAGACTGAGAGAGATAACTGCAGCTCAGTGAGGTAAGGGACTCTGTTTAGATAGTTCACTTTAGTCTAGTTATCTCAGTGGGTCTCAAACGTTTTGGTCACCATTTATGAGAATAAATGAAAAACAGTTATGAAATACTATATGACAGTAAAACAAGAATACAGTTTAAAAGGTGAGTGATTTGTAAAATATCCATAAAGAAAAAGAAAATCTGTTTACAGTTCTGTTTCAAATGGGTGTTGAGAGATGTATCCATAAATTCATTTTGCTCTCAAAGTGCACCAGATTGATGAATTTAACTTCAATATTTAAAATATTTAAAATATAAAATAGCACTTTACCTCTGCTTACACCTATATGCCATTTTATATGCTGTGAGCTGATTATCGAGCCTTCATTGAAAGAGTCGCGGGTACACTGTATGTGCGTATTCCACTGTAGCGCCCGGTACATTAATGGGAAACCCTTGTTTGTACATGTTCAATACATTTGTAACACTGTACACATGAACGTTTCTTTTTTCAGTTCACCAAAAAAAACCTCACTCCAAGCTGAACTCAAATGTTGGCATCCCTGCTGTATAGGACATCTCTTTCTCCACATTAAGTGTGAGACATTAGAATTGACTATTCTTGTCTGTCACAGACTATTCTTGTCTGTCACATACTATTCTTGTCTGTCACATAAGTGGCGCAACTGATGCGGTATTGCGCTAAGGGGAAATTATTTTGACTGGACATTTTGACCAGAGAGATTTAAATTTGCCGGTCTTCAGCATATTTTAGCGGTCACAGTCCGTTAATTACCGGCTAACGGGAACTCTGCCGTGGAGCTCCTCACACTTCAAAGAGCCATAATTCCCATCACTATCACAGACCCCACGCAGCAAGCAGGAAATGAACCCAGCTGACACTGTCCGCTCCCCGCGCAACGTCCCGCCAACACGGCACCCAGACCCCACGCAGCATTCTCATCTGTGGCGACTGGCAGAAAGTATTACAAATAATGATTACAAAAAATGCAAAAAATAAATAAAAATAAATATAAAATATATTTTAACATCATCTGATTCGTCTGTGCATTGCTGTTTTAGTCTGTGTTCTTCTAATTAGTGTCTACAGTGTGTGCCTTTTGAGCCATGTGGGACAAAAACCTGATCATGCCCCTCCCTCTCACTGTCTAAGTGAACGGTGACTGTAAAAACTACACTGCACATGCTCAGAGTATTTTCCTATTTAATGTGTGTGGCAAAAAAATAATGACCATAGGGGCACTGAGCTGCCATCCCCACCATACATCATCTCACAGAATTCAGAGCTGATTGGCTGTAAGTATGTGTGCCGCGAAGAAGTGTGAAGAGGAGACGAGAGAGCTGCAGTGACGCGTCCTAAAACCAGGAAGTAAGCTGCGCTTGGCTTCCCTTGACAAAAATGCAATGATATTTCTCCATAGGATTTTAGAAAATAGCTCGAAATAAGATCTGTGGGAAACGTACCTGCACGTTTTGTTCAGCCGGATAACATCCACATGTCTACCCTACTTTTATAATTTTTTAATCATAAATCTATCGATTAGATTTATGATAGACTTTTGAAACTACAAGAAGATAAGGAGGACTTTTACAAAAAAGTAAGACATTTTTGTCCAGAAGGATAGGCAAATGGACTTCATCTTCAAGTCAAGGTAAGACCGCAATTTTATTGAAAATGGGATCTTACTAAGAGAGAACAATTCAATATTTAAATGATAAAACTACATTTTTTGGGTATCCTTTTGTTGAACTGTCTGTTTAAAATTCATCGAAGCATCAGACAAAAAAAGCTTTTAAAAATAATATTATATTTTGGTTTAGGTCAAAATATAATATTTGTAAACCTGAAGAGTCAGTGCCAGTGCCTCACCAGCCATGAACCTCACTGCACGTCACTGCAGAAGCTTATATATAGACATCTAAGTTTTTTGTGCCCCACCACTTTTGTACATATAAAAACGCCACTGTCTGTTTGTCATTGTCACTACCCGATCTGCCGCCCTGCCCTATCTGCAGTGCGCATGTGCGAGATGGTCCGCCATATTTGACAACTACATACGGCAACTCTAATAGGACACTTGACACAGTGGCTTTTGGCAAAGCAGAAAAAGAACCGAGAGAGATGAGTTATTGTTATTACAACGTGACTTCACTATTATTTAACAACTCTTTTTATTGGGTTCTTTTATTTGGGGTTAAGTACATTGTCAGAATAAGTGAGAAATGAATTTAACTTCTGTTAGACTATAACTATATGCTATACATTTTTGCATACATAGTAAATATTTATTCAGTATGATAGCTGTCTAACAGAAGTTAAAGGGCCCATGTCATGCTTTTCCGGTTATTACCCGTACCCTTGTGTGTTATGAAGGTTTTTATGCATGTAAACGGTGTACAGAGTCACAAACCCTCAAAGTACACCCTGTAGCGAGTAAAACTCTAACACAGAAAATACCTCCCCAAAACGCCTCGTTGGAGATACGTCATTGTCCATTTGATTCTTCCATTTCGTTCCGGGTACGGCATGATGTCAAGCCGTACCCGGAACGAAATGGACCAATCCGTGGAGCCGTTACGTTACGCCCGCGGAGCCGTTACGTTAAGCCCCCGCTGATTGGTCCAAATTGACCAATCCACGGACTTCCTCACACACACATCTGTGTGCAGGGAGCAGGCAGCTCTGCTGATTTCTCCTCCCTGGCTGCAGGCTGATAACAGACAGTTGGGATCGTGGCGAAATTCTCTCTGCAGACCCATTCTCTCTGCAGACCCATTCTCTCTGCAGACCCATCCTCTCTGCAGACCCATTCTCTCTGCAGACCCATTCTCTCTGCAGACCCATTCTCTCTGCAGACCCATTCTCACAGCGTTTATCAACCTTTTTCTTATTCAATATCAAGCCACACTTATTGTTTTTACTTCGGCTGTGACTTTGTGTGTGCTCAGGATGAGTTTGGCTGTGTTTGGCTGTGTATCGCTAACAAGGAAACAACACCTCCACGGAGCTCAGCGCGATTCACAACGTCCCGACGAATCAGAGCACACTGTGCTCACAGGGAGGGTGGGGGCTGGAGCTATTGGAGCTACAACGAGCCGTTAAAGGCAGAGAGTGAAATTCAGTGAATACACATAGTTTACAGAGATGCTGTATGAGAAACCAATGTGAGTTTGGAAAAATGCACAATATAAATCTATTCTAGTAGACCTCAACAATGGAATTATGATCAGTGGAAATGGCCATGACATGGGCCCTTTAAATCCATTTCTCACTTATTCTGACAATGTACTTAAACCCAAATAAAAGAACCCAATAAAAAGAGTTCTTAAATAATAGTGAAGTCACGTTGTAATAACAATAACTCATCTCTCTCGGTTCTTTTTCTGCTTTGCCAAAAGCCACTGTGTCAAGTGTCCTATTAGAGTTGCCGTATGTAGTGAAGGAAAAAGATATGATTCTACACTGTATTGAAGTAAACATGTATTGTTTGAACGGGTTTTGATAATCACTTAGAAAAAGAATGTTATTCTCACTTTTAAACTCACTGATCCAGAGATTCTGTGTTTCACACACCAACATTGGCTGTTATCATCTCTAAGAGCCAGATGCTGTTTCTAAGTCGTTAAAGACATCGTAAAATAGGAAAAGATCCCCTGGGAAAGGAATGTAGAGTAAGATAAGGTAAAGATAAACATTGACTTTTGACCTGGGGTGGCTTGGGATCTCACATGCTGGGCAGACCTCTGATTGAACCCGGCCAGAAGCGAATCCAGCCAATCAGGACACTTGGGGGAGGTTAGCAGTTTAAACAGCTCCTCCCCAGGGGTTCTCTAATTCGCTTGGGAGAAAAGTGGGAAGGAAGAATCGACAAATCTCCGCCCCAAAGACAGATAGAAATACTGACGTTTGTGTGTGTAAAATTGCTTTTGGGTTTGGTGAGTGGTTTGATCCCGATATCTGTATCCGTTTCGCATCACAGACCTGAAGTCCAATTTCTTTTTGGTTTGATGAGTTGGTTTGATCCCGACACATTTATCCGCTTCGCATCACAGACCTAAAAGCCCGGGGTACCCGGAGTACTCTGTATAACTTGTATATGTGTTTGGTTTCCTACTAGAAGTAAACTCAGATAATTTGTTATAACTTTGATTCCGGTGTTTTCAATTCCTTTCTTAATTTAATAGAGATCCAGCCTCATCCAACGAACGGCGCGTAGCAGAGGTATTCTACTCCAACAGTAGTTGTCAAATATGGCGGACCATCTCGCACATGCGCACTGCAGATAGGGCAGGGCTGCAGATCGGGTAGTGACAGTCATTACTGGTGTCATTTCCTGGTTGCTAACAAACGCCATTGTAACACATAATCACTGATTTTCCGCTGTAACGGTGGTGGACTCATCAGAACAGAGTGGGCGAGCTGACCAATCAGAGCACAGTGGGCTCATAGGGAGGGAGGGGGGGGGGGGCAGGAGCTCCAACAAGCCGTTTAGGACAGAGAGTGAATACACATACTATACAGAGATGCTGTATGAGAAACCAATGTGAGTTTGGAACATTGAACAATGTAAATCTATTCTAGTAGACCTCAACAATGGAATTATGATCAGTGGAAATGGCCATGACATGGGACCTTTAAATGTCTTGGTTTGGTAACATGTCTTTAAAGAGCAGAAACTGTCTCAGTCAGATCATAAAGTGGTCTAGCAAAAGGATTTTAAAATCAATTCTGAACCGAACTGGAAGCCAGTGTAGTGAGGCCAGAATTGGGGTGATGTGGTCACGCTTTTTGTGGCCAGTCAGCAAACGTGCAGCTGCGTTTTGGACTAGCTGCAGGCGTTTAATTGAGGCCTGGTCCATACCCACATACAGAGCGTTACAATAGTCCAGTCTTGAGGTTACAAAGGCGTTAATAACCCTTTCTAAGTCATTAAAAGATAAATACGACTTGGTTTTGGCCAATAGTCTTATTTAAAAAAAGCAGGATTTGACTACGGTGCTGACCTGCTTGTCGAATTTAAAAGTGCTAGTGAAGGTCACTCCAAGGTTCATGACCGAGGGGAGGATGTTTTTTTTGAGAGAGCCCAGAATATCAACCGGAGAGGCTGGAGGTTGGGGTCCAAAAAAGATGACCTCAGTTTTGCTCTCGTTGAGGTTGAGAAAGTTTTTGCTCAGCCAGGATTTTATCTCTGTTAAGCAGTCCATCAGCTGCTGTAGTGAGTGTTTGACATTTGCTTTTAGAGGCAGATATATCTGTACATCGTCGGCGTAGCAGTGGAAGGGAATATTATGTTTTGTGAGAATTGAACCTAGGGGCAGTATGTACAGTAGAAAAAGGATGGGGCCCAGAGTCGAGTCTTGGGGAACCCCACAGGTAAGAGGGGCTTTGGCAGAGGAGTGACATTGGATGAATGTAATTAACTGTAGCTCTCTAGCTAGTTTATTCACGAAATTTAAACCAAAGTTTAGCCTATAGCTGCAATATAAGTTAGTGTGCATGTTGTCGGACGTCCACTGACTAACGTAGAGCGTTCACACAGGATCTGCTGGTCATATGATGTCCTGATGAACAGAAACACAAGCAGCCCACTGTACTCAGATCTCTAGATACCTCATCACTCCTCCGCTGCTCCGATACAAGTCCGGGCTGCAGTGGTTTGTTGATACATGTCGTCTTCTTCTGTTTGCTTTAATCGAGGCTACGTAGTTATGCAGCGCCCCCATCGTCAGTAAATAGAAGTACTACTACAAAGAACCCTGTTTAGTGCAGTTATTTCACAAGTTAAGTTATAGACACGGCTCGGAAAAAATTACCGAGGTCCGGACCTCGGTGACCTCAATGGTGGATACGGCCCTGTCTGGAGTCCCTGCTCATCAGACAGTTACAGAGGCTGTCTAACTCCATGTTTAATGAAGACTCCCACCCCCTGCAACCTGAGCTTCAGCTTCTTCCTTCGGGCCGGAGGTTAATCTTCCTAAAGGTGTAGAACCAAGAGGTTTAAAAACAGCTTTGTGGATGTTCTGGAGCCAGAGGGACTTTTTAAAGATGTGTCTGTTGTCTATATTGTATGAAGCATGTGGCACAATGGATACCTTTTCTTACTTCTGCAAACCAAGTTGACCTACTGGTACAAATAAGTACCATGAGAGAAATAAGAGAGTGACTCAGCCGGCGACCACACACCTGGTTCTGGTCTCTGGCAGTAAGCTGGTTACTGGACACAGAGCTGGGTCCAGGTCAAGGTCCAGGTCCAGGTCCAGCAGAGTGTGGTGTTTGCTATGGGCTTGAAGAGACACAGAGCTTTGAGTGAGTGAATAATGAGTGCTGAGCTGTGACATGGAGAAGAGTGATGGACAGGTGGAGATGTCATGTTCCCCAGAACTTTTAGAGGGGGGGGCTTCCTCCTCTCTGTCCTCACACTGATCCATAGCAGAGCCCCCACCTTCACACAAACACAACAACATGCTCATTCATTACTACAAGCTTTACATCACAGGTAGCCCCTCCTCTCAGATATTCAGGAACCTTGTTGGAGCCTCAACAGGACCGGATCAGCCCAGAATGTTCCCCACAGCCCCAGAACCACACAGAAACCCAGTGTGTTGACCCCTAAATATGTGTTAGTGTGTCACAGTGTATCACAGCACGCACAAACAGTCACTTCAATGTACATCCACAGGTAATGTACAGCCCAGCTCCCCACAAAATATCCCACACAACTGAACTGCGCTCAATAACCATTCAATAAAACTTCTTTGTTAGGTTTAGAAAAAACAGAATTCTTTGGCTTAAAATATGTACGTTAATTACATGAAAGCAGTTACGGACTTTAATTAAAACGAGGTCTTTTGTGAACTGATAAGAAATGTGTTTTTGATATATCATTGAAAATAGGAAAAACAAGTTCCCTGATAACTAAGTTACAATGAGGTTCAAATCTATGGGAAGAATATTTTTTAAGTTTGATATAATCTCCCATTTACTTTTCATGCTAATGTTTTGTATAGCCCAACATATATATCAAAACATGTACTGTTATATATGTTTTTCAAATTCGGGCAATCTAGTCCCAGATGTATAATCTAAAACTAAAAAAAAACATTTGACATTTTCAAGGCTCTTCAGTGAAACCAGGTCAGTGTTGGAAGACACTCCTTCCCTTATTCAGACTATTAAGAGTTAGACATAAAAACAGTCACGACTTGTTAGAGCGGGTTCTGACACGCCGTGCATTTCTCTCTGATGACGAGAACTCGGATAACAATCAGACTGCAACTCATTCTGCCTGAAACACCGCCAACAGTACATGGAAATCTTTCTAAACTCATTCTGCTTTCACTCAGAGAGAAACCCTACACAATATTTCAGACAGATGTTCAAACAGACCCTGGATATGTTTGAGTTATCTTAACTAACCCTAACAAACGACATCTCGCTAAGTGGTCCTACGACGCTGGTTATCAACTCAGTAAATCAACCAGGGTTTCACAAACATGGACAAGCGTATTGACAGCGCAGCGTCATACTTCATGATTGAATAGTAAACTATCATGTTAGACAAATATGAAGACGTTCAACTTTTAACATCCATGACTTAACACTTTATCCAGGATAAAAGCCACACAGTTGCACCTGCAAGGTGAATATAGAACAGCTGGTAAAAAAAAAACTACCAAGTGTTTGAATGCATTCATTAACAGTTTTATGATATCACTGCCTGTCTACTCACAGACTCTCTTCAGATATACTCACAGACTCTCTTCAGGTGAGAAGGAAACTCTGCTCATTTCTTCCTCTTCAGTCCTGAGTCTGCCTGCATCTGATCTGAGGACGCCTTCACACCATAGACTGTATATATAAAGCTTCACACCCTCAGAAATCCAGAGAGAAAAAACACGTCAGAGTCACGTGGAAACCGGCCTTACAGGTTGTAGCTGTCAGCCTGCCAGACCTCACCTCCCTGATTCAGACTATTAAGCAGTGGCGGCCGGCCCATAGAGGCGCTAGGGGCGCCGCCCCCCCCCCCCCTCTTCCCACATTAAAAATTCAAATTAAAAAAATATGTATTTAAAAAATATATTTTTTATTTTTATTTTTAATAAACAAGGTAAATATTATATAATTGGTATCAGTCAAATGTATAATCTACAATAAAATCTCGTTTAAAATTGTGTTACGATGTTTAAAGTTACTGATAAGTCGCATGTTTCCTGCCTGGCCTTGCCCGTGTATCATTACCCTCTCTACGAGTAGAGCAAGTGCAGCAGAAGCCAACTGTTGCTATCTTTAAACTATGCCGCCGAAACATAATTTCAGCCAATCAGCGTCGTCAAATCTGATGGTCACAGGGCGCCTACGTCAGCGCCCGGTGCAGTCTGTGAGTTGTTTGGACTCGTATCCAAGGAGACAAAACAGGAAGCTGTCATACACTCTGGAAGCTATCATTAGCAGCTAATGAAAACTCAGTTTTTGACTGAAAAAATTATTGATGATCCATAATTCCATTTTTATAAGTGACAGACACATTGGATTAACCTATGGATTAACCTTCAGCCGCGTTTTTCTCGTTTTTGATCAGAATAACAGCAAAAGGTGTTGTGATTTGGTGATTTATATATATATATATATATATATATATATATATATATATATAAAGCACCAAATCACAACTGAAGTACAGCCATCAAGCACAGCCAGCTCCATCAGTGATACTGACGGCCTGTCAGGAGAGGGAGAGGAAAAGAGACTCCCTTTCTTATTCTTATATTATAGAGTCATTATCACATATTTTTAAAGCTCAACAAATACTTTTCTCATTTCAATGTTTGACTTACCAGGAAGAATTGTCCCTCTGAGTGTCTCTGCCTCACTGTCCTCCATAACTGGAATGTTGGTGGGTGAATCCATTTTGCTGCAGGAAAAAACACATTAAACAATAAATAAAGAACACAATACATTAAAGCTTCAAGTTCACTAATGCAAAGTTAACTCTGCGCAGGTTCTTCAAACGTTTTCAGCTGCAAGTTAGATTTGTTTATGTTGCCAGAATGTTATTATTTTAGAGTAGGATAACGTGCTTTATTGTTCCGATTTATCAGAAGTCTTTTCTTTCTTTTTTTTATTCGACCAGCAGCTAGTACAAGTCACTGTCGGTGTCAAGGCCGCTACACACCCACCTGAGACCAAAGAACGCGTACCGAAGGCGTCCCGACTTTTCCCGACTTTTACGTTAGCTGCGTCACCTGCGTCGGCTACGCCGCCTGCCTACGAACACACCGCAAATACTTCAGTCGACGAGTGGCAATAACTGTCCTTACCAGCAGGCAGCGGTAGTGTGAACAGCCAATCAGAGTGATTGCTTGTCCCGACTTTCTCTGACCTCCCGGGCCACGGGAGGCGTCGGGAGGTGTGAAAAGGTGCCGTAAAGAGACGACGGTGCGGGACACACAAACCTGAGTAGGGTGCCGCGAATGCCCGACTGCCTCTGACGGCCTCTGACGGCCTCTGACTCCCAAAATCGGGCTGGTGTGTCCGGGCCTTCACATGTACTGGAGGGGACCCAGAATCAGACTCGGAATCAGCTGGTGAAAGTAACATTTGTTTATTAGAAAAGGGGAGCTGGGAGTGGAGGTTGGTTATGGCGGCAGTGGGAAACAGTTGTTCCAGAGTGGGTAGAGAGGCCTGGCTGGTCTTGGGAGTGTGGAAGGCCTTGGATTCCTCCTGGGAGAGACATAACAATTAGTGTGAGGCAAAAGCAGGCAAAGTTGTCAAAGAATATGCTGGCAAAAAGCTAGAGCGGCACGCAACAATCCTTTCACGGCAACAATCCGGCAGGGAATGAGAGCAGGCTGCAGGCTTTCATAGTGTGGCTGATGAGCAGGTTGCAGGTGTGGTTGATTGGAGATTGCTCCCAGCCGTGTAGAGCAGACCAGCAGGCAGGTGGGGGGGAGAGAGAGACACACAGTAGAAACAAACACATGCAAACACTAACAGGGGTTTCAGGGACGGGCAGTGACAGTCGGTCCGTTCCTCTATATGTCTGTCTGTCTCAAATCTAAAGGGTGCAATAACGATTTGTATCCAATATGCATAAACAGCGGACACTGTTTATACGCAGCCCTCACAAACCACACACGGCCAGATAGCTTATCTAACAGTTAGAACCTACATACGAGACACAACCTTTATAGTCAGAAAAAAGTGTGATTATTTTCTGATATTTTACAGATATGATATTATGAATACTGTGGGCCTACATACCTTAGTGTGATTATAAGTGTATGTGAGTGAATATTGCCTGCAAATTCGTTTTTATACGTCCTATTCATTGTCTCAATGCACTCATACATCTTAAGAAAGTTATCACCAAAAATGTTAAGAATGTTTTTAGAGAACGTTATCCTACCTTCCATAAAGTGAGTTTGCTGCATTTCCTCCATTTTATACCATACGATTAAACTTTATTGTCAAATCTAGACTGTAACCCTTCATCACAGCATCACAGTTCAATAAAGACAGAAGTTGTGTTAATGTGTGTTACATCTGCATGAAGGCCTCCAGCAGAGGATGCACAATGACATCTGGAAGTGTCGCGCCCCCTGCTGGCAGCAAACACACATTACAATATAATACCTGGAGCATGCAGTACCACCACACTCCACCAGAGGGCACTATATGTCAACATTTACCTGTCCTCATCTCACAAAACTGAGCCTTTTAGATTATATATATATATATATATATAATCTAAAAGGCTCAGTTTTGTGAGATGAGGACAGGTAAATGTTGACATATAGTATATATGTATATATATATCGCAAATTGAATCGCAATCGCAATATCTGTCAGAAAAATCGCAATTACATTATTTCCGCAAATCGTGCAGCCCTACACACACACACACACACACACACACACACACACACACACACACACACACACACACACACACACACACACACACACACACACCTTGTGTTTCTGTGTCCATGCTTTTATAGATTCTGTGTATTATTTGTGCATTCATCTGAAGAACTGATGGCTTTGCAGAGCGTGTAAACATTGAGTTATTTTAAAGCTTAATGATCCAATCAGAGCTTTCTGACTGCTCTTCGTTAACCGACTGCTGTGTGCTTTATTATGTGGAGACAGAAAGCGATTATAGTGAAGCAGCATTACTCCATTCATGGTTTACTTTTGTAGTGACACTGCATCTTGGTCAATGTGGAGGAAGATATTTAACTCAATTAAAACCACCTAAATACTCTAAGTGTAGCTTACAGGGTCAAGGTGGCATTTTGAATTAATTTCTACAATATGTACTGCTCTGGAGCTCCTCAGGTAAACCAAATGCTCAATAACATCTCATTTATTAATTGTTTATGTTTTGCATTTAGGACATTTCAGGTGTTGTTCCTTTAAAATAAAAGTAATATATCAATTAAAAGTAATATAAAGCATCATTTCAGCAGGTTAATTATTAATGTCCTGCTTGTATTCAATCAAAGTATACTCTATTATGAATCATGTTGTTTTCAAACCTGTTGCTGCTCTTTTATTCTGAAAACCGCAGCCGGAAGTCACTTTGTTTACACTTTTTATAACATGTACATTTAGCACATTTTTAGCACATACAAATCGTATTAAATAATGTGATGACAGAACTGTAAACAGAATAGCTGAAACTTTAACAAAATAAATAACTCAGTTACCTCTAATCATTAGCCCATGTTTGTATAATTGAGTTAACTCCGTGTGTTGCTGCCAAGCGGCAAACTCAGGGGAAGAGCCGGGACGCCAATACGGAAGTGCCACAAACTGCAGTTCATATATTGGCCGATAGGCGATGACTGCAGAAAGGAGCAATTTCCATAGACCCCAATGTTAAAATGCCCATTTTCACAGCAGAAAAAAAACGTTTCTAGCCCTGGCTCCAATACATTTTATTATGTATATAGTTAGATTCCACCTTCGTGATTATGAATCTGTGAGTGAATTGTTTTCTAACGCGACCCTTTTATTTATATTAGGTCTTAAAGTTTTTGCATAAATTAGGGCGTGGTCACATTGAGTGACAGCTCTGTCAGGTGACTGCTGCTGTTAGCTTTTTGTCTCTCTGCTAGCTGCTCCGTCCGTGAAGCTACAGGGACTCTGCCTGCCCAGTTCATCCAGGGAACACAACTTGATCCCGGCCGTGTTTGTTTGTTCTTCATGCTTATATATCGGACTATTGTGACTCGCTCTGCGGTTAAAACAGACGGTGCATGAATGCCGTTTTGCGGTAAGTGAAATTCGAGTACTTTATTTATGTGTTTATGATACGTAATGAATGTTAAGGCTTGGGTTTGCGTGTAAGCGAGTGGTAGCTATGCTCAAGTATGTAGACAAGCTAACGTCGAAGTAGTGTATGTGAAATCAACCTCACAATAAGATGTGTGCATATTACAATTATTAATGTCATATTTTCAAGATGATTACTTAGATATTACAATATGGTTGGTTGAGCTGGAGTTCATTATTGAGTTTACACGTTAACGTCACAGTCATCTGAAGAACGAACCCAAACGTTGTTGTTTTTATTAATTGCATTACCAAATTGGTATCAAATAAACAGTAACACAACAGCATTGGTAACACAACTTCCAAAGTTACAGTAAAATAAAAAGAACCCTGACTCGGACAATACACAATCCAACATGTTCAACAGAAGAGAATAAGTTATATTGTTTGTACACATGGTTCTTTACATATATATCTGTTTGTTTAAAGTTTCCAGGTGATGCAGACAGGATGGACCAGAGAGTGAGAGACAGAACTGGACTCCTCACAGCAGTGAACTTCAGCACAGGTACAAATACTCTTTTTTCA